ATCACAGGTGCGTTTGAGAGGATTTGGAAACATTTATTGCTTTAAATGAATTCATACAATATTCAATGATGTTGCAATAAATACATATATAATTAGTGAATACATAATATATTTCCTGCTTCTTAAACTGCTTGGTTCTATTAGCTAGTAATCACAAGTTTTTGGTTTCTATCACGTTTTTAGATCAGCTCTTTCAAGATACTTTTAGTTACTTATTGATAATCTGCAATGTTAAATGTCTATTGTGTGTATTTGAACACTTGATAACTACATTTAATCAAGATGTTTTATAATGCATGCCTTTATATCCTTATTTGGTTACATTTTAGATTAGCCTTCATTAATTAACAGCTAATTAAGGTCTAATTTGGGTAACATTTATGGTTAATTAGCTCTATATCAGTATTTATTAAGCACGTATTAGTCCTTATTCTACATGGCCTAGTTCAACATCTACAGTAACTAACTACTCACTGACTCTTTCCCATGTGGGTTAAGGTTAGAGTTGGGGTTCAGGTTAGGGTTATAGGGTACACTAATTAGCACTTCATGAAGGATCTGTTAATTAATGAGGGCTAATCTAAAGTTTTACCCTAATTGTTACTTGTTTGCACCATATGCCACAGCAAATTCTTAGTTTGTGAGTTCCTGTAACTTGGCAGCGAATAAAAAAATTAAACAAATCTGATTCTGATGGCATGTTTTCTTTTGAAAGGCTTTCTGTTGGAACAAAACAAAATGTATTTTCTATTGTAAAATTGTTGGTTCAGCTTGAATGTTATGTGGGAGAGTGTTCTGTTTATGGTGGATACTAAATCAAAATCAAATGGCCCTGTTGTTCTTATTTGCACAACTTTAACAAGAATCTTCCGCCGTTTTCAGACTTGTGTTTGTCCTTCTAAATCTTTCAATATAAGTTTAATTATTTATGCATGTTTTGTTTTCATTTTCTACTGAGAAAACAAATAATAAATGTTTTTTTTCTCCCTGATTTTATGCAAGTGCTGAAAGCCCAGTTGGGGATTCCTTTGCACGTTCTGAGGCGGATGCACAGATTTAACAGCAGGGATCACGGGTCAGAGGTGACTCCAGGTTTTTCACATCTGCAACTTCACCCAGCTCCTGTCCCGCTGCTGTCAAAGAAGGCAGCCAGCCACAGTCTAATGCGAATTACCAAGACAAAGAGCGCAGAGAGACCCAACTATGGCGACGTCTTTGATTTCTGCTAGATTTATGGGCGTGATGAAATGTGTCTTGAATAAAGTGGGCAGGGAAGTTTTCTATATCATTTACTGGGATCTGAAGTTGCTCCGGTTTGTTCTGGGAGACAGACACAGCAAATAAAACGGCAACAAATCTGAAGAGTGAAAAGAGTCCCTTCAGAAGTCTATCAGCTGGCTCCAGGCCATTGTCCACGCTGCTTCACAACCACTGCCTCACTGCACATTCCCAACCTCCAGCTCTCCGAGTATTTCTCCATGTCTGTCTGAAGAGGCCATTCATTTTATAAAACCAATGCATATGTCACTTAACTATTCAGCTCCTTTAAGTTGGGAAGTGTGAAGAGACCTGGCTGCAGCATTCTGACACTGACCACAGGACGCAGCAGGTACCACCGGTGACGAATGAATGAATAACACAATAACAGGCTTTAACTCGCAACTTCTTTATGGTTGTACAGCTGATTGGAGAACACGTTTAATTATACCTTGTGGGATATTATAGCGATCAAATGTGTCACTGTACTGTGGGCTTGGTTGTCCTTGTTCTGACTGGTCCACACTCACAATGATTCTGAAACAACATTTAGGAAACTTAGTATTCACTCAAAAGGTTGGTAACTGCTCCTGTGTCCTTGGGCAAGACACTTCAATAAACCTACTCTCCACTTACACAGAGGTTTAAATGTAGCTTCATGTGATTACCATTTACAATGCATCAAATCTGAGAATTCAAGTGGAGGGTAGTTTCCTGTATTCTTCAACAGTATGACATTTAATGAAGCAGATAATGTTTAGAATGTTGGTTTAACTTTATATGTCCTTGGATATATGCAAGTAACTGAAAAATTAACCTGAAAATGGTCTTTTTACACATTACACATTTAGCAGACGACTCTCATGACTCATTCTTAAGTATTCTAAATAAGTATTTTCCAGAGATAGCAAGGGACAACAGGAAATGTCCACACCATAGTACAAATGGTACAAATCTTTGCAGCAACTGTCAACATTGGAGGGATCCACAGAAAGTTAGTATGAGTTAGTGTCTCCACCTTGTGGCCGCACTCTGCAATCAACGAAAAGGTCCCATAGTCTGTATATAATGGTTTGAATGTTCTCCTCTTTCTGTTCCTATTCTTTTAAGATTGGGGTGAATGAGTCTGAAATAAAGAATAAAAGTGGTCATTGAAATATTTTTGCAATCAAATATATTTAAATTATCCCCGCAACATACATGTAAAATACATATGAATGTGTATACATGGATTTTTGTGCGGATTTCAATATTGTTATTGCATAGATTATGGTAAGACGTCTATACCCTGTATACACAGCAGTCAGCTGTAAATTATTTTCTCCCTTTGGATCGTGCGACCCCGTGTGGAGAGACTTGTTACTACATGAGCGGTGCTTTCTTTGGGAGGATCTTTAATTCAAACTTTATTTGAGCGATAACCTCAAAAACAATTATTTACGTATGTGGATTAAATAGAATTGGCAGAGAGAGTAAAAAAAAGTAGACTGAAACAAGTTTAGTGGTGAGAATCATTCCAAATGCACCTGCATTTCATTACAGGCTAAACAGCTGTTGCAAACTATTCACAACATACCTTTTATATACATATGAATATGAATAATACTAATTAGTGTCAAGTTAAAAATATCAATATCAAATGTATTGCAAGAAACTGGAATGAAATTGCAATGTAATAAAATGTATGAGTTACACCAGGGGTCACCAACCTTTTTGAAACCAAGAGCTACTTCTTGGGTACTGATTAATGCGAAGGGCTACCAGTTTGTTACACACTTAAATAAATTGCCAGATATGGCCAATTTGCTCAATTTACCTTTAATTCTATGTTTTTACTAATAATTAATGATATTTATTTTGTGGAAAAACTTTTATATTTTCTCTAAGTGCACATTTTTCAAATTTAACAAATGATCACTTCTAAGACAGTCCCATTTAATCGCAATTAATCACATTTTAATCGCATATAAATATTTGACCTGAGAACAGTGAGAAGTAATTTTTTTCACATGGATTTTTAGTTTACCATTGAATAATGACTGAATACATGATAATATGGAGTTTAAGGGATAACTTCTAAACATCAAATAACGTTTCTGTCATTGCCTCCACACTCTGACGACAACATACTCTTTTTAAGCCCAAAATCCACTGCACACGCTGTGAGCACTAAAGCTGGGCATGCGCTGTTTGATAAAGCTTTTATAATACGTTTTTGATGTGTGCATTCGGAGTAAACATCAGCATTAGCAGCTCACACACCTGTGTCTCGCTCCTCCTCCTCCTCCTCCTCCTCCTCCTCCTCCGCGCACACAGGAGTCACTGCTCCTCCTCCTCACACACAGAGTCCATCGCTCCATACACAGCGCTCATTCCCGTCTAATTTACTCGAATTTAAAGTTGGTCTCTGCTTGTAATAATGTACTTTTGAACAAGAAAAGTCACGGAGCTCCGGTTGGTGCGTCACTTCAATTGGTCCGTCTGAAACTAATTTTTTTAACGCGCTTTTTTGTGTGTAATTAATTAATCTTTATTAACTTGTTAAAGTCCCAGCTCTAGTTTATATGCCATTTGTAAGTTGCATGTAAGTATGATTTAAACAAGAATAGCACTGGTAAGTGCTGCCATTTGAGCTATTTTTAGAACAGGCCAGCGGGCGACTCATCTGGTCCTTGCGGGCGACCTGGTGCCCGCGGGCACCGCGTTGGTGACCCCTGAGTTACACTATACTTTGGGTTACTGAGTTACTCTACAACACTAACACTGCCACAATGTCAGACTTTTGTTTCTTGCTTTTAATTATAAGTTACTTAAATATTAAATTCAAACTATTTAATCAATGTATTCTTATTAAACATTATTTTAACCGGAAAAATTCCATATTCCAAGATTTCCAAGGCTTTCCTGGCCTAGTTACTCTCAACACTGGTAATGAAGAAGTGTCCATAAACTTGAAATACATGTTTTTTAAATGTTTATTTAGAAGAATATTGACAAAAATGCAAACTTGGGTTTGTACAAAGCAAATTAATCACAACGCATGACACGCAACAAAACACAAAGCTATACATTTCAATAAATGTAGATTAAAGCACCATTTTCAAAAAAAATGAGTAGGAAATGCAAAAAAATAAAATAAAAAAAGACATATCAAGTACTGTAAAAACATAAGAAAAACTTCATGAGTGTATTAACACATTGATCCTTCCTTTATTCCTTCAATAAAAAAATCTAACTAAGTAAAACACAAAAACACAAAGTAAGACGCTTATAAGAAGCTTGATAATCTGGCGAATGGAAGCATTATCATTTCTTTGGCACAGCTGCATGATCTGTGAGAGACAAACTCTATCACATACAAAAGCAAATTAGACAAATGTTAACATGACAAGACTATGTACAAAAAAATTGTAACGCAACAATGTTATAAATATGTCTAAAAACCACAGACACTATGTACATCTCTGTACTGCTGTATCTCCAATTGTAACATTTATTAGCATGCAACACGGTCGATACTTCAGCAACAATTGAAATGTGAAATATAAGGCACTTGATGGTAAGCTCAAGATGACGCTAACGAATGTCTTCCACTTATGTACAATTGTTAGTGACTTATCCACTTTAATTTTGAGGATGTCTGTAAGTCTAGGGTCTGTGGGCAGTAGGCACAGTGCGATGTTCTGCTGAAGAGGTCCCAAGCTCCCTCCTCCTCCTCCTCCTCCTCTCTGCTGCTGCGCCTCTCATTCTTTCTTCCTCAGGACAATATAAATGAGCCCACTGATCAGACACAGGGGGAACGAGACCCAGGCCAGGACGTAAGCGTACCCATAGGCCATGGCATCATCTGGACTCATAACCGTGTAGATTATGGCCGCACACATCACAAAAAGGCCTAGGGAGAAAAAAAGTCAAAGTGAGTATTGTGTGACCCCACCCCCTACTACAGCTAAGGGTGTGAACCTCCAAGTTACTCACTGCTCAATATCTGGAAAATGGCGGTGAAGTAGAAGCGTCCACCCTTGACCATTTTGAAGAGCTGATAGAGGAAGGCGATGAGAGAAAACAAGCAGAAGAGGACAGCCAGGATCATGAGAGCCTGCACCGCCTGGATCCAATCTACAGGTCAAGAGCATAGCGTTGGTCTAAACACACATTTGTAAGTGTCAGAGCAGGCGATAGAGAGTGGGGTACACACCTTCGTTGCTGGCCGATTTGCAGTGGACCCCTCCATTGCTTGCCATGCAGTTGTGCCACAGATCTGTGCTGGCGTCACCCCCGACCTTCCATGCCTGAGATCACAAAACAAGTTATTTTCTTCTCTTTCAGCTCTTGTGGAACGCAACATGTGAGTTAAAGGGATACTTACGCTGGCTGCGGTGGAGACTATGAGGAGGATAAGGATGATGAGGTGCAGGATAAGCACGCCGAGCAGAATGAGCATCATTTTGAAGCAGATCTATATAAAAGGAGGAAAAAGAAAAGCTAAATTTCAGTTCACTTTAATACATCCATGATTCAAAGGGGTGCCGTTGCAGTGCATGGTCTGAACGGCAGATGGCGCCACTCAACCGCTCAATGAGGGACCGCAATGTTTACTTGAATGTGAAAGTATCGTCTTACGTCCTACAAATTCAAATGGAAGCAAAAGGAGGTAAAGCTTGAAGTTCTCAGAGGTAAGTTAACAATGGCGGGTTGGAAATAATGCTATAGGACCCCATCACTTTTGTCATTCTGAAAAACATAAATATACTATATACAGTTTAACCTGATTTCAAAAAGGCAAAAAAAAAAACAAAAAATCCTCAATCTCAGTTTCCCTATCGCGAAGAGATTTTGGGAGGAACTGTAAAAGTGGAAGGAATCATTGCAGTTTGGTGTGAGATCTGGACATGCTGCTGGAAAAACAAACTTCATCTTTTGCGTAATAAAAAAAGCATCCCAGCGTAGTGGCGCCATGCGTGCGCCACAAGCAGATCTCAAATGAAAAGTGAAGCAGAAGTGCATTTTGAGCAACGCTTTACGATCGAAACCGGCGACAACTACCACAGCACCGCCTTTTCTACGCCCAAAGTCAATCCAAACTACATTTTAGGTCCAGAAAGTACGTCCTGTTCACGAGCGTCTTTTGGAAACACCAACAGACCATATGAGGCTACGAGAAGTTCCAAAGTAGTAATCCGACTTACGAATGGGACAAAAAGCAGGATCCGAGGAAAAAGAAGTGTTGCAGTGAGGAGTTGCAGAAAGTCTCAGAAGAAAGTTGTGCTCCACTGGACTGTTTCTCTGCGCTACTATTCCAGATGTGGCTCACACACCCCAGTCTACAGTCTCCGCCCGCAAACACCGCCCTGCAGAGCTGCACGTCACCAAAGCCCGCTCCAAAACTTTTTTTTTTTGCCTTTCCGTGGCATTCATCATCTGGATTGAGCTAAACGGCGTAGGATTGTGTGAAGATTTCAGATAAAAAAAGGCCTGTTTCAACTGCATATCTCTCAAAACAGATACACATGTGTGATAGACCTATGCAGCACAATTATAATCCTAATCTCACACTTTAAAACTGGACTATATCTACTTTTTTGTTTCAGATTCAGATTCAGTTTATTTGTAATTTGCAATAAAACCACGTTGGAATAGATTTGCAAAAAGTCCCCAGTGTGCACAAGATGAGCAAATGTTTCATAGATTATACACGAATTTGGTTCCATCAGAAGAGTCTTGTAAAAAACAATTCTGTGAACAATTCAGACCACATCAAGTCGCCTTTTTCTCATAAGAAAACATGTTATCTTTTGCGTACTTGTAGGGAAAGCCCTGTGAGTTGATGCTTTGGGCTAAGAGCTGATTGGCTGAGTGAGGGTGGTCCACTCTTTTTCACTTTTCTGTATGAAAAAGCATATTTAAAGATGTGACAGAGGCCAAAAAAATAGCATGTGACTTGTGATAAAAACCAATTTGTTCTAGTGCCAGGAACTAGTCACAAACAAGGCGTTTGAAAGTGGAGAAAAATGACTCAATTATAACACATTTAATGAGACTTTCGGTGGCGGCATGTTCTGAAGAAGACGCAAGCGGTCTCAGCTCCCACAAAATTGCAAACAATTTGACCCATTTTCTTCAAAATAACTCCCCCCTGCGTTTTAAATGAATTGGAAAGATGACGACCATGAGAAAATGCATTTATTATTAGAATTGATGGGGTAGATATTCTATTCTTGTGACACACTGTTTAATGGTTTGTTCCCATCCCATTCCTTCCACTCAATCGTCCACTTTGAGTTGCGCCATATGTCTCCGTCCATCCCTTTTCTGTGTGTGTCTGTGAGAAGCAGCTGTCACGAATGCCTGCGAGACAGTATGGAGAGAGAACGGCCGGCTTGTCTGGTACCAGCGGCCTCTGTATACCACGGTGTAATGTTGTGTTCATGCTAAATTGATGGAACCGCTCGGATCTCCCCACACGTTCAAGTCAAGGATGAGAGACAAGAGATTGCATTGTGGTTTTTGAGGAATTTCCTGACAAGCGACAAAGTTGTAAAACCCCAACTTCAGAGAGCAGATGTGAGGAACGACAAAGAAACGCTTAGAAACATGGAGCAATCATGATACCGATCAGCTGCTTTTGTATGGGCTCCCTCTTGCTTTCTATCCTCGCTGGTTTTGGCTCATCATCTGGATTCCTGTGGTTTGTGTTTGTAAACATCCATGAGGAGAAGGTAGGGTGAAGCCGCTGCTGCAGACATCCAGAGTTTGGCAGAGCTGATCGGGGCAGAGAGAGGGAGATAGTCTTTGACCATCAGTCCAGCTTTCAGATCCCTATGTGCTGTGTTTATGAATATGTAAGCACTCCAGTGGTCAAGGGCAAGGCTGTGCCAGTTGCAGCCAGAGGAGGAGGGAGGGAGTTGGAATTTTAGATGCCAAGCAATAGCAGGTGTGCACAAACAAAAAAAACATGAATTCTCTTCATAGTTACCACACACACTGCTGGACATAGATAGCAGCCAAGTAGAATTAAACACTCAAATATCTATTCTTGTAAACTAAACTTGTTAAGGTATACTTTATTGCATTTGACCTAGGGCACTGGTACAGCGCCTGGGGAACCGACTCCAGATGTTGACGCTCGGGTGAACAGGACTATCAGAGCTGGAGGAACTTACCTATTTTACATGTTTGTAGTGGGGAGAACATGCAAACTCAGAAAGGCCCTGTTCCGATCGAGATTCGATTCTTTGCTGAGAAACGGGCGCTTACCACTTACCCATCCTTGGTCTTTTAAAGCTGCTTTCACACTTGCACAAACATACACCACTTCAAATGATAAAATAACAGAAGGTAAATAGACTGAATGTGCTCCAAGAATCAAAAAAATCAAAAAAACGTAGAAGGCAAATGCTTAATTTCTTGGGTGCATATTTCTATCGCTATCAAGAATTTCAAGAAATGTTTTCTCGACCTGATGAGCTTGCATTCCTCACGAAAATGTAATAAAAATGTTTAAAAGTTAAGATTCCCTTGTTAGTCTGTAGTGCTGTCTCAGATTACACCATCTGTGACACATTCCTTGGCAGATGAAGTCCCAGTGACATAATGCATACCGCACCCTTCTCCGTCTCCACCAAATTTCTTATACTCTCGTTACAAAACATCCTAATTAAGCAAATAAAAAGTTGTTGTTGATGATATTTACCACCATAATGTTAATAACTGTGTGTGTATATGACTGCAGCTTACCCCTTATAACAATTAGCTTATAGTTGTTTGGCTATTTATAAGGTTATGTATGATGAAAAGTAGAAAAGTAGCAAGGGTTTACAGGTCTTGGCACTCTGGGCACTCTCTTGGCTGGTGTGACTTTGGAGGCCGTCCAAAAAGCACAATCCTCACACAACACAGTTAACCTAAACACACACTGTCTGTCCTCTTTTGGAGCTGACAGATCACATAACAAACAAGGCAGGACAGGCTCACGCTGGTAACTATAGTCAGGGCCATTGTGGAGGAGCTCAAGTTGAAACTTTAGACTATAAGTGACACGCCACATTTCACCAGGGGATTCGCTGGAACACAGGTGTGGCTGAATTGTTTTTCCTCGTAAAAAGAAATCATTATATGTTTTTATCAATTTACTTATCATTGCGAGATAAAGGTTAACGTTGATTTTGTGTTGAGCAGAATCTCGGAAGATACTAAAGGCATTAAACTGCGCGTCAATCATTCCCCATAGAGGTGATACATGCTTCTGTAGCTACAAATATAATCCAATTAGAACGCTACTGATTACAATGCAGATTCAGGAGGGTGTCGCGCCCATGGGCACAACACTAGTATGTACTTGTCAACTTTCATTTTTTTTTCATTTTCATTTAATAGTTTATTTGAATAGGGACGATACACATTAATCAACATTGCTGTAAATGTGTCAGTATTAGCTAACAGCTAGTTTCCAACTGTAGTCCCTAGGCAAGGTGTAAAATGCCTGTAAAATTCAAGTGTTAAAATAAATACTTGTGTCTGACTATACAACGCATTGAGTTGATTGGAAGTTTTAAACGTGAAGCTAGGTCCTGACATCTGTTATTGATGCATCTGTTTCTCCTTTGAACTACGAGGCGAACGCCACAGTCAGAAATATAATAATTACAATACTGAACTAGGGCTGTGACAAATAATCTTGATAATCAATGAATCTCGTGATTATTATTTCAGTTAATCCATTAGTTGCTTTTAATGTTAATATGAGATTACATTTCCCCCAGAAAAAGCAGAAGTAACCCAGAAATAGAAACGTGTTCATCATATTTCCATACACACAATGACATTTAGACATTTCTTGAGTACTTTAGCATATGATGTAATTGCTTTTCTGATTCGTACAAGTATGTCTATAAGCACATAGTTTGCATGTACTGTTTAGCTGTGAATACAACTGAAATATTTGTTTTGTTGTTATGTTAAGCACTTTTGTTGCCTTGTGAAGGATCTGTTGTATATGAATAAACTTTCCTCTGTTAGCCAATACATGCACTTGATCAGTTGAGAGTCATTCATAAATCACTACAGCCCTATACTGAAGCCACTACCAAAAACAACACTACACTACTATACTGTGATGTGGCATGTGATACCAACGCCATCCTATTTCGGCGAAACGTTCACTTTCTTTTTACAAATCCTATTGCGTAATCCAGAAACAACCCACAATGAGACAAGCATCAACAAGATTGAGATGTTATAGAATTAGGCCACTGCTGTTGAATGAGTCAGCTCGATGTGTACCCGTGTCAGGAGTCCAGAGCTCCACCTGCAGGAGTGGCCAAAATCCCTCACTCACTCTGCGACTGGATGAGACAATCAGGGAGTAGGTTCCTGAGTGTGTCTCCATAGGTTTGGTTAGTTTACATTGGAACAGCTGGACGGATATTTCTCCTTTGGGAATATTAAGCAATGGTGGAACACCCTTCAGAGTATCCATCCTATAGAGATCATGCCAAAACAAGAGGAAACGCTTTGGCTCTGAAGTCAACTGATCCAATGTCAAGAGCTGACAACGCCTCGCTGCTGCTCCTCTCTTGTGGATATTTTTGCATCCACAGGATTTTAAAGCTGCCAACATATTGAAGCAACTCTCCCAAAAGTATATGTGTTATATTATATAGAATGAAAACTTTCCTTTTGATAAATTGTACATTTCCAGTGTTACTTTCATTGTTGAGTGATACCACTTGAAATGGCCTATCACATAACCCACATTTCCACACAACCCTGACCATAACCTTTGCCAACATTCCTAACTCATAGCAACACAATGTTCAGCTATTTGACATACTGTAGTATTCAAACTAAATCATTTTGATAAGCCTTGAATCACAATAGCCGTCAGCTTCTGAGACGTAGACATAGAGAATAATTGTTCAGTAATGACAAATTCAAAACAATAGGAACTGGATATGAAACCTTAACACTAAATCATAGTCGTACAACTGTAATCCGTAAACATTCCAAACATGACTGAGTTGCAGATGTCCACTGGTCTGTCCTTTATGCCCAAAGTGCCCCCACCTCAGGGCAACAACAAGCAAATAAATCAGAGACACACGGCCTGACGAACTCCAGATCTGGCACCCTGCTGATGCTAAACATGTGCTAATCATTACGGCCTTGCCTTCCTGTCGGAGGAGATGTCATCAGTGCACACATTCTCCCTCACACGAACCGTTTCTTCAAATCACACTGATATTAGCCCCAGGACTTTGATATGAAAGCAATTTGAGGTGGAAAAAATGAACTGGAGAAACCAACTTTGAATAATTAAGTGTCAAAAAGAGTTAAAAACTTGACAGGTTCTATCATTAGTTTTCACATGGATTTTTGGATTGTGTCAAAGCGTGAAGTAGTGTCAAGTTTGTCCCACTTTCTGTTGGGACAAACAGAAAGTAATATTTATGAAGAAAAAAGTGAGGAAGGCCAGATTTAAGGTGGTGAAGGTTAACTCAATGAATTCATGTATAACTTGTAGATTTAATGGCTTTACAATCCGTATAAAATAACTACACTCTTTAACATTATTAGAATATTAAACACATCCAGGCACAGCACAAGAAAAAAAATTCCCTCCCAAAGTTTGTCAGATGTTTCCAATCTATTACTGAAAAAAAATCTTGCTTCCACAGATGATTCCAATTAATTTTCTGCTAAAAGACATGATTTATTTCTTTTTAACACATGCAGAGAAATCCCCTACATCTCCACACATACAATTTGTGCTTTTTAGACCCGTTATCAGCGCCTGTCTCATTCCTAAGGCGTCGGTATCTTCTGTGAGAGAAACTGTGCTTCTTTGACTGCACTTCCTCAAAACGTTGCCAATTTCTCCGCTATGAGAGCTCCGGGTATGTGCCAGCAAATATTTTCATTCCTCAAGTAGTGCCAACGCTTTCAAGTTTTACAGCCTGGGATCACCTGGAGAGGCAGAAGCGTACTAACCGACTATTACGGCACTATTATTGTCCTTAACCACTGTGTCTGTTTTGGATTTGTTATCTGAAGGCTGGCATAAACACTTTTACATGTGTTGACGTGGTTAATGATAAAAATAGCAAGGCTGGTGTGTAAAGGTCATCAGGAGGCTTTACACATGTTTGCACTGCACTTGGGAATGCTGCGATGAGGTGTGTAAGCAGTTTTCCTATCTGCCCAAATGTTTGCGGTTGGCATAAAGTAACCTGAACTTTTATAAACAATATACACATCGTTTTAGATTATGAAAGGTAAGTCACGTCCAGGTCTCTGCAAGTTAGCATCTGAAATCAAACCAAATTCCTTGTAGCTGAGTTTTTTCAAATGTTGATCCAGACTTTTGGCTTTAAACGCATTTATAATCCATGTAAACTTGGTACAGATACAAAGAGGCCACTTGATTCTGTTCCCTCAAGCATGGATTTCATTTGTTTTTTTGTATCTTGTTTTATTTAGGGCCACCAGTCCTGGGATGCCAGAGAAATCTCAGAACTCATGGAGCCTCCCAGAGGACTCACAGTGTGCAGTTTATAAGGTTGTGCATTTCTTGATGTTATTTTGACTATTACTGTATGTACCCAGAAAAAAACTGGCACAGATTCGGGTGATTTGCAGAAGCATGTAAAGTTAGTCCATTAAAAATATGATATATTAAAATTGAACTTTTTGGACTATCAAACACATATATGCATAGACACATGTCCATCACCATTAGTTATGAGAAAATTGAGTACAGTGTCTTGCCCAAGGACACAACAGCAACTGAAAAATCATGTTTCAACTTTTTTTTTTCTATGCAGGAGCAGTTTGAAAACAGTATATGAGGCATGTTGTTGTCAAAGCAGCATGACATAATACACACACAAAAACCAAAGATACACAAGAAAACAAAACAAGCAATGACAGATTTACAATATTAAAATAATTTCTAGTAAAATATCATTAATGTCATCCGTGCCAAATGCTGAGACTAGTGCATATCTGTCTATGCATTCACTGGCTTGGGGCTAGCACAATTAGTAGCCTATATAGTAAGACCCCACCGTGCTTGGATTATTCCCGTCATAATTACTGCCCTATCATTCACTGTTTGGCCAAATGTAACGTTTGATATACATGCAATTGCTGCGCTAGTGGCTGAATAGTGGCCTGGCCAGAGGAAGCTGTGGCCAAACCAAGAGGCAGCGCTTGTCTGTGATGTGTGAGCTCTGATGGGACGGCCTGGACGCCAGCCCAGAGAAACCACGGCTGGGTTTAGGATTAGGTCCATGACAGTTCCCCTCAGCAGCCACATGCAGACAAGGTGAGGATGGAGTCATCAATTTTGTGACACATCTCTGTGGTCTGTAACTTTATGAGCGCATAAGAAGCGTGCAATCCATCCATCCAGAAATGCCAAAATAGAATCAACAATAGATTATTCTTTATAGACAGAGGAGTGGTACGACACTCGGGTTAGTGTTACGGCACATATGCGATTGTTGTGTAGAGATTTTGCCTTTGTTTAATGAGCAATAGATCTCAATTAAAGCTGGGATACATAACTTTGAAACCACAGTGATGAAATACCAGTATTTGAGTACCGACCTGCACTCAGTCATCCTGTTTTCCAATAAGATAAATTCAGCATTTTGTGGTCTATAATTTGTAAAAAAAAATAAAAAAAATGTTACAATGTGACAAGATTCTTTCTTTTGGAACAAACAGCATGTATGAAATAAAATACTTTGTACTCTAGCTTTAGCATGATGTAAGATGATGAAAGCTAAACTGAATCTACAAGACCTATGATGTAGCTGCTGGCCAGTATTAGCCAAAGAGTAATATTTCTAGAGAATTCTTCACGTTTTTTTTTTTTTTTTTTACAACATTATGGAAATACCACAAATGAATCCCCCGCACTAAATGATTTCCTCTAATAAGGCAAAGTGGCACGGAGATTAAAGGTTAACTCGATTTGGCTAAACCCAGTTGCTTTGTTTTGACCTTGGTGCTAAAGTGACTACGCTTGATCTATATTCATAACACACTGTTTTGCATTTCGGGCATATATATAAATTCTAATCTCACATGCCACGAATATTCAACACCGAGTTCAACGAGAACATTTCCCTGTCACATTCCCTGTGTCTGATAATTCATTAACTGTACATTTATACAAGGAAATAATCAGTGTTCTAATATGCAGGGAGCAACTTGGTTATTAAAGGCAGACTCATTCGTGTGACAGAACTCTAATAATTGCTTTAATGCACATGAAGCAGAGCAGGTTTTAATTAAAATGTGCGACGTGATAATTACCACGAGTCAATTAGCCCGCGAGGTTAATCTATATAGTGCGATTGAGTGAACAAGTTTGTCCCTGCATGTGGTTGACCATTTAGTGGTGGAGGACAGGAGACGGCTTTTGTGTACGTGGTAAGATTCAGGACAAACAGCTGGATGTTTGCAGGCCACAGCGTTTGGTTTATAGTCCTGTAGGATTTTATAGGCCTGCCGAACCCGCCCACTCCCATCCCAACCCAACCCGGCCCTTTTGCTCTTGATCCACAGCAATGAGAGAAGTTGGGATGTATTGTTATGCTTTATGCATTCCAGATGAGACCTTCGCCTGCGCTGTTCCTCCTCCACCCATGTCTCCAAACATGTGTTCCTCTGCGTTCCTTCGTGTGATGAATTTCAACTTTTTTTTTTTTTAAGACAACGAAGAAGCCGGGTGTGGTCAAGAACAACAAGCAATGGTTTAAAAAGAGTTAGCCTATTTTATTGTTCAACATGAAGAAGAGAACAGACGTATACACTTATATATATATAAGTTCTATACATCTAAGCATATGGCGAGTAGTTCATGGAAGAAGAAAATATAGCATAGCTGTGTGTACCCAACAGTCCCTCAGCAGAGCGCTGGTGGGGGAGGGTAAAGCCTAATTAAAAACAGAGCCAGTTTTTTTTATATATTTTTCCCATTATAAACTTCTTTCAAAACAATTACTTGACCCATGATTTCAGTGGGCCACCAGTTCAGCCTCAGCTTGTTTAAACTTCACTCTTTGCCAAACCAACTGTCAGGATTTAATAACTAATGCACAGCAAGGATACCCAGCACGTGATTGTGGAGGCAAAGATGCATGCTCATGGAAAACACTTGGAACCACAAACTGTTCCCCTTGTTTTCTCGTCAAAGCAATCCATGGATGAAAATACTGTTTATGAATGCAGGGGATTTCCAGGAAGAATGTTTGTATTCCCCATGGTCCTTGTTGGGTGATTTTCTTTGCATAAGAATTGGCACATAATCATATTTTAAGGGTTTCTTATCTGAATCTTAACGTCATCATAATGTAGAGTTTTGCCAAAGTCAAATGTTGTGAATGAATCAGATCACGACATGCATTTCGTTGCATTAGAAATCATGTTATCTTTGGCAAACTTGCAAGAAAGAGCTCTATGAGTCACTTGAAGCTTTGAGGTTTTTTTCACTTTTCTTTCTGAAAAATATGACATTTCTAAAGATACGTGAATTGTATGTATTCAGTGAGTGAGTGTTTATTTATTTCGAGTTCAGTGTACATTAAATATTAATTGTCAAATGTCACTACATCAAATTCTCTAGCACAGGTGTCTCCAACCTTTTTCACCCAGAGAGCTACTTTCCCGGGACGATAAAGGCAGAGAGCTACTCTTTTAAGCGACCCTGGAAATTTGTTTTTTGATATATTGATGTGAACAAGCCTGATATTGGGTGCAGTCAGTATTTATCATCGCATATTTTTTACTAGTGCACAAACTAAGTGCTTTAACAATAATAAATAATGGTAATGAATGATACAATTTGAAATATCCTGTGTATTATTTAATTTGTTCGTTTCTAAATCCTTTGGCGAGCTACCTGGAAGGGGGTGGCGAGCAACAGGTTAGAGACCCCTGCTCTAGCAAATCATCATATAC